TTTGGTTATTGAGAAGAAGTTGTTTAAAGTTTTTAACATATTTGACCCATGTGACCTTGAAAATAGATGAAGGTCATTTATTTGAACAAACTTGGTAGCCCTTCATCCCAGTTTGCTTCTGGCCAAATATCATCACCCTAGGCCTTTCAGTTATTAAGAAGAAGTCGTTTAAAGTAAAATATTGACGCCGGACGACGGACGGACGACGGACGCCGCACCACGGCATAAGCTCACTTGGCACTTCGTGCCAGGTGAGCTAAAAATGATAAAAGGAAATATTAATATTCAAAATAGATTATGTAAGACCGATGGACGAAGGGCAGATATAGAGGTGGGCGCAGTGACCGACATATTGGGCCTGGGGAATACCTTGTATAAATAGTCTTTTAAAGATGAAAGCAAAACTATGTACCGGACATTTTTTATACCTTTCTATGCAACAGAGAAATATTTCTGATTATTATATCTCTTCTGAGTTTTCCCTATATAAAAACAATACGATAAAATCTGCTATTTCCCTTAAATCACTTAAATATCTCCATCTGAGGGCTACTCCCTCCCCAAATAAGGACTACTCCCTGCAAAAAAGGACTACTCCCTGCCAGAAAGAGGAATACTCCCTCATGAATATTTGTAGGTGGAGCCTATAAGATTTCAACCAATGAAAACATTGGTAGGCAGAGCTTATAAGATTTCAACCAATGAAAACATTGGTAGTCGGGGCCTTCTCCGTGACGCTCGTGACGTAAGATTTTCAGAACCAAATGACAACAGTGAAAATGGCCACCGATGAAGGCCGTTTTGTTGTTGTAAAGAGGAGTTACAGCAGATTTTGGACGCTCAACGTAGCTTAAATACAAAAGCTGTTATAAAGACTGCAGTGAATCCACTTCAATCTTATTAAACAGAACGGAATGACGGAAGCGTCGACGAGTAGGGTCATGCAAGCTCTTTTAAGAAACCCAGGATAGGACTACTGCAGTAGATCTAGATATGGTAGGGAAACAATGGCGACTATGAGATTCGGTCTATAAAAACACTTCTTGAATGCTAGAAATGAAGATAACATCAACGACGATGCATACAGTACTTCCAACTGTATTGTTTTCTCTTTCAGTCTTTGAAATTGAAAAAAGGAAATGAATAAATAAATTCATTTGTTAAATTGCCTTTACTGGGTGAATAATTTGTTTCATTATAATAAAACAGTTATAGAATGGGTAATTAGGGAAATAGCAAATAGCAAATTTATGGTCACCCTTGGTGAAAAACTATTCCCCTCGACGGCTTCGCCGCCTTTGGAAATAGTTTTTCGCCTCAGGGGACCATAAATGTGCTATTTCCCTCATACCCATTATATAACTGTAAAATATTGACTTCTAATTGGTGTAAGTTAAAATATAAAACCAGACAATTTTTTACAAGGAAGAAAACCTCGCAAATTCAGTGCTACACAAGATCAAGATGAAGCAGTACTGATTAAACGTAAATAAGATCCTGTTTATGAGCGCTACTAAGAGTGTGCTTTCTCAGGTATTTTTTGTCAGAGAATCCCTTCCCACAAACATCACAAACAAATGGTTTCTCTCCCGTGTGTATCTTAATGTGACGCTGCTTGTCACCTAAATTGGTGAATTTTTTCCCGCACATTTCACATTTATATGGTTTCTCTCCCGAGTGAATCCTGAGGTGGACCTTCAGAGCCGAGTCTCTGCTGTAAAACTTTGAACAGATGTCACATTTGAATAGTTTCTTGCCCATGTGTTCCAGACTGTGAGTGAGTAGTGCGTCGGCCTCGTCAAAGCCTTTTCTGCACACGTCACACTTGTGCGGCTTTTCTCTAGCGTGTGCCCTCAAGTGCAACTTGAGTTGGTACCTGTCAGTGTAACCCTTCCCACAAACCTCACACACATGCGGCCGGTCGCCACGGTGAACCATCAGATGCCGATCTAAAGTGACTTGATTCTTGTACTGGTTTCCACACAAGTCACACATATGTGCCTTCTCCGATGAATGTGCCAACATGTGTTTTTTTAACTCTGCACTGGTACTTAATCCTCGTCCGCATACATCACATCTGTGTTTCCAATCACCGGTGTGAAACATGACGTGGCGGACAAGCGCACACTTGGACTTGTACTGTTTACCGCATATTTCACACTGGAACATTTTATCTTTGTCATGTACACGGCTGTGTTGTTGTAGTAACTCCAGCGACGAAAAGACTAAACTACATGTCTCACATTTTTGTCGATTCTCGTTCAGTTTGATATGCATCCTCTGGTGATTGTTAAAAGCCTTTTCTGATTTGAAGGTTTTCGAGCATTGTCCACAACTCAGATTTCCTGGCTCGTCAAACTGCAGGTCTTTATGCTCATTGATACAATGGACTTCGTACAACTCCTCATCCTCGAATTCTAATTCACAATGCTCGCAAGCTAAGGTCATGCTAACTCCATGTGTATCCAGGTGTTTTACGTAAGACCTTTCGTCTCTGAACTCCTTCCCACATCTTCCACACGGAAACATTTGATCCTGTGTATGTGTGGCACGGTGGTTACGTAGCAACGAAGCCGAGCGAAATTTATCACCACAAACGTTACACGAATGAACATCTCCTGTGTGTTTCTTGCTGTGTGCTAGCAGAGACACCTTCTGACGGAATCCCTTACCACAGATGTAACACACGTGCGGCCGTTCGCCAGTGTGTCCCATCATGTGTAGCTTTAACCCCAAGCGTGACTTAAATTCTCTCTCACACAGCTCACACTGAAACGGGTTCACCCCCTGGTGTTCTTTCATCACATGCTCCTTGTAAGTATTTTCAAATCTGAAATGTTTCCAGCAATGCTTACAGCTGATATTGGATGCCTGCTGGTTAATGTCCTTGGTATGTAGGTCCTTGGCATGAAGCTGAAGATGACGATCGAGATCACCCTTGTTAGTAAACGTGACGCTGCAAACATAACATTTCAATGTCTTGTCCCAAGGATGTGTTTTGCTATGTTTTTCCAGCTGTGTCTCCAGTTGGAATCCTCGTCCACAGATCTGACAGGTGAAAGGCATCTCAGCCATGCTGATCCTCAAGTACTGGTTCTGTTGGGGTGATCTAGTAGCAGATGAGGAGGAATTTGGTTCGGTAGAAATGGGCCACAAACTCGGTACCTGATTCTCATCCTCAGAACTAGATAAGGTCTCCTGCTTACATACTACTTTATCAGTAGATATTGACTGAAGATTTGATGCCTTAGATATTGTATCGACAAACATTGACACTTGGTTTGTGCTCCTGACAGAGGCACTGAAATCTGACGGAGGAATCGCTTCAGGGAACATTTGTCCCGATACGGGAGTCAAGATCGGCTTATAATCTCCGGTATGAGCAACAGAGGTCCCTACAGTTACAGAATGGTGTTCAGATTTTACTTTGTGTGTGTTTTCATGATCACTCAGAGCTGTTAAATCGAAAAATGTCCTCCCACATATGCGACAGCTATGAGGCTGCCATTCCGGGTGAATTTCCAGGCACTTGGGCACTAGTCCTCGGACCATACTGGTTATTGTGTACGACGGTTCCTCTGGACGCGAAGTCTCGGCTCTTCTACCTCGGACCTCCACCATTTCCTCATCTGCTGAAAAACAGGTACAACTTGAGTCAGAAGGCCAAGGCAGACAGGCAGCATCTTCACAATATCACTATTCATTATTCGTGTCACTTTGATATTTGATTCACATTTGCCAAGGCAGACAGCTGCAGGCAGCATCTTCATAAAATATCATTCTACATACTTGAGATTCCAATATTCACATATGTAAGTCAGTACAGACACAGCATCTTTAAAGTATCATAATTCAATACACTGATCATTTTTAATACAATATCGTCCCGCCCCACCTTTCCCCGAGTACAATAGTAGATTTTCCAAAAAAATACAAACAACAGAAGAATAGCCTTCAGTGCAGGCACCTTTATATAAACAATAATGAGGCGAATCAACATCTACCAAAAATAGTATACTTCAATTTTATTTTTATTCACCATCAGATAAATGACAATGTAGTGATCCAATTATATCTAAATTTGTGATTTCTTGGGCAAAACAATCTTTTAATCTCAGTGGGTTTTTTATGGTCTTTTATTTGGAGGAACTTGTATCTGTCATTCTTGTGCATGTATGATAGAACTGGGGTGTCAACAAATTCTATCTTGCACCCCATTTCATGTGAATGACATCACAATGGATCAATAATAATGTGACATCACGAAATCGTGAACCTTCAAATGCTGTAAGGCAGAAATTGTGACATGTTGTCGTGGATTCTGGGCTAACGCTAGTGATTGGAATGAGAGAAAAATACTTGTCCATGCCCAAGAGGGTAGGATAGGGAAATTCCTTCCTCAGGATTTTCCCCAATTTGAAAACTACTTTTTAACTCATTCACCCCTGAAATTTCATAATGAGCTTTTCCATCCTTTGAATTGGAAGAGTTCAAAAGTGTCTTCAGGGGTGAATGAGTTAAAGTGATGTTTTTCAGTCATGAATACATCACATCTGACGTAACAGCAGTAATACAACAAATATGTCAACACATTAATTTCGTCATTAACATCAACAAGTTCACCCACTCAATAATGCAAAGAATGATATGTCTTATTGCACGCAGTTATTTGTTTCCTGAATTCTGCCTAATGCAAGATGCTTTATAAGAAGAGGGATTTCTGAAAACCCTACTTCTTAAAGGAAATCATAATAAAGAAGCTGATTATGATACTTTGATAGTTACTCAACACTACAAATTTGTCCCAACTTTTCCCAGTAAGCTGTCAATTAAGAAAAAAACCCAGAAAAAACACTATAATATATAAACAATTTTAGCATAATTACATGAGGATTTGAACAATGGTAAGTATATCTTGTATATATATCATGATAAAGCAAGTTAAAAGTTGCTACTGTTTGACAAAAACAAAGCTAAATTCAAAGTCAAACACCAGTCTATTAAGCAAACAATATAGACCATTTATCACAGAATGTACAGTGTTATCCAGTGAATATAGATCATTTATCACAGAATGTACAGTGTTATTCAGTGAATACAGACCATATATCACAGAATGTACAGTGTTATCCAGTGAATATAGACTATTTATCACAGAATGTACAGTGTTATCCAGTGAATATAGACCATTTATCACAGAATGTACGGTGTTATCCAGTGAATATAGACCATTTATCACATAATGTATGGTGTTATCCAGTGAATATAGACCATATATCACAGAATGTATGGTGTTATCCAGTGAATATAGACCATTTAACACAGAATGTATGGTGTTATCCAGTGAATATAGACCATTTATCACATAATGTACTGTGTTATCCAGTGAATATAGACCATTTATCAAATGATGTACTGTGTTATCCAGTGAATATAGACCATTTATCACATAATGTACTGTGTTATCCATTGAAAATACCCATGTCAGATTTTTTTGCGTATTAACCCATGTAATATGACCTATCAGCCCTGTGATTGGTTGAAAGTTTCAATTCTTTCAATTGTGATGCCACGCCTAGGACAAGTACATGACGTCATAGACTTCCACACTGGAGTCAAATGGCGGCTTTTTACATTTCAAGGTTGCATGAAGATTGTCGTTTTACACAAATATATGCCACAAATCTTGATTGTGTGATCAAAATGATTTTACACTCGTTTTCATTTCATATGTAATTTATGAAACTGGAAGCCAGAGACTCGCTAAATTGAAAAATTCTTAAAGACTTGTTTCATAAATTTCATATGAAATGGAAACTCATGTAAGATCCTATATATATATGACCTACAGGTGATATAGATGTAATGTTGTGGTACTCTTCCAGATGTATCCATGTATAAAATGCGGACATCTAGATTTTTGAGAAATTTTCCACAAAAGCAAACTCTTACTACAGGAACATTCACGATGTTGTATGGTAACATGGTTGGTGTGGCCATCAAACCTCATTGTTATGGTGATACCACAGGTACTCCATCAACAGTTTTCAGCGTTGACTTGAAATACTATGAGAAAACTTTATAAAACAATTTTAGATGAGAAATCATGGCCTAACACGTACAGTGATGACAAATCAATGTTTCCATGACGACATATCACCGAAGACAGGTGACTTTTGTTGTCATGGTCTCTAGGACAACATGTCTCTACTTCAATGATATTGTATCCAAAGACAAGTCTGAATGAACAGAAAATGTTACCATAAACTGAACAAATACTGTATTGTGTAATAGGATGAGAAATAGTGGTAAAGATAATGCCGTCGCTGGGGCTCGAACCCACGACCCTTGGCTCTCCAGCCCGATGCTTTACCGCTGTGCTAAAGGGAAATTCTCTACAGCTGAAGCTTGTAAGGCAATCTAATCAATGCACATCTTTTACAATTGTATGACTGAGGATGGGAAAATTAAAAGACTACTCTAGATTTGCCTATATTAAGTTAACAGGCTTATGTAAAAGATAAAAGAAAGGAAATGAAAATCTGCAAAAGTCATGAATCGTTCTAATGAAAGTACTTCCTATGGTCACAATAGTAACACGAACACATCAAAATCGTACAACTGTACACTAAACAAGGGGAATTCAGCAGCTATTAGATGCTGTACTATAATGTTATGACATGAAGAAGAAAAACATATATTGCACAATGTACTCTCATTGCTAAAACATGATGCTGATGTACCTCTGATTTATCATCAGAATTACCTCCCTTGAGGTCAGTAGCTTATACATTAATATGATACCTGTGATCTGTGTTAGAGTTATCTCCCTTAAGAATATATGTGACTTCCATACACATAAAAATAATCATTTTACCTGTAACTTGTGTCATTGTCTCTAAAGGACGTCACCGACCTTACACTCTCTACATGTGATGTTCTAGGGTTACCTCCCTTTAGAATATATACTACCTTATACATGAACATTATGCCTGCCATTTGTGTTAGTATCTGCCTTCAGGACATCAGGTATCTTACACATTATATTAGGGATGTGTGTTAGAGTTACATCCCTTAAAGACTTAAGCTATCAAACAGATACTTGTGGTTTGCATTAGAGTTAAGAATATATGCTACCTTAAACATTATACTTATTATTTGAAATACAGTTATCTCCCTTGTTGATAAACGGTACAACTGAAACACAGCAGTAATTTGTGTTTGAGTAAATGATATATATCAAATGAAAAAGTCATTTACTTAAGTAACAGTAAGCTAAGGTAGCATACAGTCTAAGTTTTACATCTATCAACCTTCCAAAATATTTTATCAAATTATGATATATTCCTTATTTCAAAATATCATAGAAGACATCTGGTAGTTTCTCAATAGGACAGCTCTAAGACTGGTACATCTAATTGTTATATTTCACAAATAAGAAATCCATACCCCAATTGTGGTAAACATAATCAGTCAACAAAATTCTTCAGTAAAATTAACAAAACAATTTCACTAGGTAAAAACATTTCTTTCGTAGGCCATACCAATTGTAATATATTTTATTATTTCATAAGATTTGTAAAAACTACATCTACTATTTTGCAAATTTGAGAAGAAAAAAAGAGAAGAAAATAAAAAGAAAAAAAAATCTATTACAAATGTACTTCCCAATTTAAAACCTTTTCAAAAGTTGATGGATTCAGAAAGATATGTCTTTAATAATAATTTATTTAATTACAAAGCTATTTTCATTCCTGGATCACAGAATTGCACAAGCTTGTCACATACACTGATATCTATCACACTTGACCTGAGCGTACAACCTTGAAACTTAGCATACTCCGTGCTAGGCATCTGGTTTATTCAAATGTCCTTAAGTTTATGAAGGTTTAAACATATTTAACCCTGTAAGAGGGTTGAAGGGAAACATTGAAGGATGGCTTGCACCAAATCATACAATACGACAAGCTAACAGGCAAATTTGTGCCAGGTGAGCTGAAATTTGTGCCAACTTGCTCCTATTCTAAAATTCAAATTCTGATGAACAAGTTCAAATTGGTATGAAATTATTATTATTTTCAGTTGCAGGAAACACAGAGCAAGATCCAGCTTTAGATTGTTAAGATAAAATACTGTATACAAGGTTGTTTTTAAAGTAGATTTATGTTCATGATATTCAAATCTTACGGAAATTTCATGGCATTAAGACAATTTTCACAGTAACTTAATTTCTGCAGCAAGGTATTTTTCATAAATTTAATAGTGATTTTCACTGGAAGTAAGTTTCACGATATAATGACTTTCATGGTTAGGTGATTTTCACAATATTAAAGCCAATTTTCACAGTGTAGAGATTTTCATGATAAGTTGATTCCATAATTACAATATGACTATATCATTTCTATTAAAATTAATTTCAAATTTTCAATATTTCAGAATGCATATATCTTACAATCAGGAAAACTTCAAATTCAACACATATTGCAAATCAATATTTTTCAACAAAATCTGTGTTATCATGAAAATAATACCTTGTGAAATCAAAACTGTATACAGCATCTACACAGCATCTACAGACATCAAGTTAAGAAAAGGACCTTACCTCCAGAATGGGCTGGGGCCGAATATTCTTTCGCTACGTAAAGTTGTTCTGGTAGGACCTTGGAGGTGGATGGTTCCACTGTGAGATCCATGGCCGACCCGTCATCCAGGATAGGTGCTTCATTCACAGGGGTACTTGATTCTGTAAAAAACAAACAATTTCTTAATTTGAATTAGAAGATGATAACCCTTTAAACATTTATAACAGTCAGTACTGTATAGTGTTTTTGTATCATCGCGTCAATTTTTTTTCCAGTTTTTATTCCAGAAACAAACTAGTAGGGTTGTGAATTCTACACTAAATGGATTTGGTCAAATCCAACCTATGAATTTTGACTATGAAATGTTTCAGGTGGGAAGGATTCATTCTAGGCAGGTCGGGGCACATTTACTTCCTTTTGTCCTTGACACACACTACATAAAGATGAATATTTACAACTTGCAATATGTTCAGCAGTAAACGTCAGGACAAACTTTTGACCTTTGACCCCTGGCCAAAACGTTATCTGTTTGAGTACAGAACTGGAAGGTTATTTAAATCAACTAATCCTGACACATGCTTCTGTGAAGTTAAAGGCCAAGCAACATGTTAATAGATGCAAGGAAAAGACACAGACCAATATATGTAAGCCCACTCCCTTTCTTAATCGCAGGGTTAGTGTGTATGCCTTTGTTTGAGTGTTTTCAAAGATGCTGGTTATTGAAATGGCAACAATGAGAATCAATGGGTCTGTTAAATAGATTTTCAATTATATAGGCAATTTTCCACGCACTTGTTCATACTTCATCTTGTAGTTTTTCTTTTGACTTACACCTAACGTCCCTCCACCTCAGCAGTGGCACATCTCTAATTAGTTCAAAACCCATTTAGAACTTTATACTAAAGGTTTATTTCCTATTTGGGCCTCTCAAATTATATGTTTAATTTTGAGTCTGAAGGATTTGTCATCCCAAAGATGGATTAAATCTGATCAGATGTTGAAGAAGAGTAGCTAGGTAATTCAAGATATTGAAGACTGACAGCAGACACTAAGATATGGTATAAGCTCAAATAGCCCTTTATCAAAGTAGGCTTCAAAAGGCCCTGAAACTACTACCTACTTTCTATTGATAAGGAAACATTCTTCACTTGAGTGTCATGATGTAAATCAGCATCAAACAAATGCTTGTCATCTTCTTCATCAGTCAAATGTTTGTCACTATCTTCATCATCTGGATGTTCATCAGCATCAACCAAATGTTTGTCACCACCTACATCAGCAACATTCACATGTGTGTCATCATCTTCATCTGCATCAGCAGTAAGTTTGTCAGGATCAACATCTGTCATCCCAGACTTTTCCTTCAAGGCTTCATCTATCTCTGTCAGAAAAATAAAAAATAAAAATTCAAATAATTTCGTTTTTTAAGCTTTGGTTTAATTGAAATAAAAGGGATGTATAATAAATCAAAATGCTTTAAAGTAAAAGTTTATTTCCTTAAGCATGGTCCATGTGAAAAAAATCTTGGATGCAGCTATTATTCAAAGCTTGATTTAGATTAAAGTCAAGTGAATGCAAATTTCTGATTTGATACATGTATGTTTTTGAAAATATTAAAATTTTGTTACTGAATTTTCATGTTTAGGGATTCAAAATCGTAACTTAAAAGGAAAAAAATCTTAATCTCAAAAAAAATATCATTAAGGTCTTGTCAAGCTAACCAGATTTTAAACTGGCCCCAGTTTTATATAATGTAGGTTAACTCATTGACCCCTGAAATTTCATAAGGAGCTAGTCCAACCTTTGAATTGGAAAAGTTCAAATGTGTCTTCAGGGGTGAATATGTTAACCACAACTGAAATGTCATGGAAAACAGGGTGCCTACAGAGAAAACCCACCTTTGAAAATATTCCCAAATTACCAATGTAACTAGAACCCCTTTTAGTTCATACGGTTTGCTTGTGTTTTATATCCTATTAACAGATATGGTCATTTAAGGACGTGCCAGGTTTTGGTGGTGGAGGAAAGACGGAGTTCCCATAGAAACACCACCGATCTACGGCCAGTACCTGACGACTGTCCCACGTAGGCCTCTAACCAACGACTCAGTGGTGGAGGGCTACCGGTAACAGAATGTCTGACGCCTTAACCACTTGGCCAAGGCGGCCCCCTTAGTTTATACTCCAATTTGTAAATAGAAATTCCCAAAAAGTACCAGTAATAATTTGTCCATTCCAAGTCTGGTATAAAGTCATAAAAGTTTCTATAAATGCTAATGAATGAAATTGTGTAATACATTCTTTGACTTTGATACAATATTCTTTTGTTAGTAAATGTATCAGCTGTTAAATTCTTACTCTGGTCTGATGGTTGAAACTCCTCGGGTTCCATGTCATCTTCAGACTCCAGCACCTCATCCTCATCATCCATGTCATCATCTTGTGCATCGACATCAGGCAGTCTGGAGTTCTGTAGGAACATGGCAGTGTTCTGAGAGGCGAAGTTCTCCTTCAGGAATGTCTCACACTTCTTGATGAGGTGATTCACACAATACTGTCGCGCCATTGGTAACACCGAGGTTGCCACATCTACCGTCAATTCTATCAGATCTGTGTACAGGTATCTGGAATGCATACAGCAATCACTTAAAATGTCATTAACCCACACATTCACCCCTGTAATCGCATGATGAACTATTCCAACCTTTGAATAGGAGGAGTTCAAATGTGTTTTCAGGGGTGGGTGAGTTAGCTGTGGTTATCATGGTTCTTTTTATTGAACCCATTCCCAATTGAAAAATATGAATTTTCCCATTTTGTCCCTTAACAATTCCCAGATAGGAAATCTAAAATAATAAAAGCATCAATTTAAAGAAATTCTTCATGACTGCCTGAATTCTCAATAGGCAGCAATGGTATCGGTATGTATACATATTCCAAAATAGTTACTAGCAAAACCAACTTCAATCAAGATAAATATTGATTCCAAAATGAAGAAGTCTTGAATTTTACGATACGCATTCAAGTTGAATTGTCATAAAACCCATCAGTGCACCTTTTCTGTTGCAGGCAGCCTTACATTATAGGATCAGGCATGATTCTGTATTAATATTTTAAACAGAATATTTTTTCAGTTTTACATGTTGATGTTCACAGTGTTTTTTCTAACTAAATTTACAAACAGACTGTTCCTTCATGAATGGGGAAAATATAATATAACTTTCATTGAGATTAGGAAAGTATTCTTCATTTTGAGAAAATACAGCACATTTTTGCTAGGGGAATTGAGCAGCTTGCAACCAGGCAAAAAGATCACTGATTCAGAGACTGAAAAATCACATCAATAAAAAAAAAATGACACAAAAATGACAATATTTGAATGAGCTATACAAATATTAGCAAACAACCTACAAACTAATCAGTACCTTAGGAATATTGAGAAAATGTGTTGCTGGGTATCAAGCAGAGTTATCTCCCATTTACTTATGGTAGGGTCATCCAGCATTGCACAAAACACAGAGCTCCGTGAGACCAGTATGGTTTTGTGGGCTAGGATTTGCCCCTTTCCGCCATTGACCACGAAGGCAACGTCGCTGGCAGTGCCGGAGGTGAACAGATAATCCAGGCAGTCTAATAGTGGCCTATCACACTGCCAGTCCGAGTCTGCCATCTGACCAGCTTCCATCTGAAAACAGAAACATCATAGGTTAATCAGGCAAATTTATTATACTGTGAAAAGAACGCTGAGTCCAAATAACCAAACCAAGAGGCCCATAGGGCCTGTATCGCTCACCTGGATACCTAAGCAATCATGGCAAACAATTCTCCAAATGAGATCAAGGGAATATGCCAGACCACGAGGCCAATCCTTGTAGCATAGCTATATTATATTATATTTTTCATGCCCAGCAATTTTATGTATGGTTATGGGGTGGTGATCTCAACTGTTTCCAAGCTTTGACTCAGAAACTAGGTCCCTAGAGTTGTGGCCAGACCCCAGGATCGATTCTAATATCGTGACTGCATTTGTCTCTTTTTGCCAAGCATTTGTATATATAGTTTTGGGGTGGGGATCTCAACCGTTTCAAAGAGTTATGACCCAGGGGCCAAGTCTGCAAGGGTGGGGCAGACCCTGGGATCAATTCTAATATCATGACTGCATTCGTCTCTTTATGCCCAACAATTGTATATATATAGTTTTGAGGTGGGGATATCAACCATTTCAGAGTTATGACCCAGGGGTTAAGTCTCCAAGGGTGGGGCAGTCCCCAAGGCCAACCTGGAAGCATATGTGCAATCATTTCTTTATACTCAGCAATTGTATATATACGGTTATAGGGTGGGGCTCTCAAATGTTTCCAAGCTGTGACTAAGAAACTAGGTCCTTAGGGGTTTGGTCAGACCCCAGGGTCTATTCTGATATCATCATTGCATTCGTCTCTTTATGCCCAGCATTTGTATATATAGTTTTGGGGTGGGGATCTCAACCGTTTTAAAATTATGGCTCAGGGACTATGTCTCCAAGGGTGGGGCCACACCCTAGGGACATCCTGGAAGTAAATGTGCATTCTTCTCTTTATACTCAGCAATTGTATATATGGTTATATGGTAGGGATCTCAACCATTTCCAAGTATTACATTTTATTGGCCCCACCCCTTAGCCCGGGGGGTCAGCCCAACCGTTTGTACAATTTTGAATATCCACCACCTAGAGATGCTTCCAGTCAAATAAGGTTGATATCCATCACTTAGTTCCAGAGAAGAAGTCACTTAAAGCAGTATAGCCAAATACCCTTTTTGGCCCTGCCCCTCAGCCCCCTGGGGGGTCAGCCACACCATTTGTACAATTTTAAATCCCTGCCTCCCAGGAATGCTTTTGATCAAATATGATTGATATCCAGTGCACAGTTCTACAGAAGAAGTCGTTTGTAGCAATATAGCCAAATTGCCCCCTTTTGGCCCCGCCCCTTAGCCCCCTGGGGAGTCAGCCCCACCATTTGTACAATTTTTAATCACCACCACCTAGGGATGCTTCCAGTCAAATATGATTGATATCCACTGATTAGTTCCAGAGAAGAAGTCGCCTAAAGCAATATGGGCAAATTGACCCCTTTTGGCCCCGCCCCTCAGCCCCCTGGGGGGTCAGCCCCACCATTTGTACAATTTTGAATTCCCACCACCTAGGGATGCTTCCAGTCAAATTAAGTTTAATTCCAACCAGTGGTTAAGAAGAAGAAGTCGTTTAAAGAAATTGTTGACGTACGGACGGACGACGGACGCCACGGTATGACATAAGCTCACCTTGGTCCTTTGGACCAGGTGAGCTAATAATAGGCAAAACTACAAAATTCTTGAGTTTTTAAAATTTTGAAATTGTGAAGTGTAATGCATAGATAAGATTTTTCACATCCACAAGCCATTCGGATGGATACGTCTCGCCTGTGCATTGACCATCAATGAACATGTCACGTTCGGTTGGTCTAGCTGTTGTACTTTCAGAGAAGTTAACTTAATCACAAAAACTTAATGTTGATGGAGATGGAGATGCTGACAAAGTCAATGGACCATGAAAGGTAGGCCGCATCCAGCATTTGATGCATGGGTTGAGATGTACTACCTAAGATGCATCTATGGTCCAAGTTTGGCTGTTCTAGCTCTTATACTTTCAGTGAAACTAACATATACACAAAATCCTAATGTTGACGTCGATGTCGCAGGAAATTCGCCACTTTGTGGCCCCGAGCCAAAAGGGTTGAAAAATCCCTGGACAACATATATACAAGATTCTTGGATTTTCTTCATCTTATTTTTACTTGATGCTGTCATTTTGAAAGATTGTGATAGTTTTCTACTGTACAGTGAGTTATTTAGTTTTCTAGGTTCAGTGTTCAATTTCTCTCCAAGTTTTGAAACAGGTGGTTTGTTCACATGCTATAATGGTGACCTATACATGTTCTTAAAGTTAGTATAAAAGTGAAATGTGTTGTCTTATTTGATGTGGGTCAGTGTGGACTTTAAAGAATCTGAATGGGATATGGGCCTCATAGTCCTTGAATCGGGTGTTTATTGTGTTTTGCAGCCCCTGCTAATCAGGTTCAACCGAAAGTGCATACATATATTACACAAAAGGTTAATATGGCCATAATGGGCGAAACCAGATATGACTAAAATGCATACAATCAAGGTAAAAAGCCTTGTGGTTTAATTAGTGTCAAATTATTTTACTGAATATGGGGAATTGTTTTGATAGATGATACCAGCCAATTAAATCTGATGCCTCATGAGCAGGTACCATGAAGATTTTTCAGTTGAAGTTACAATGAGCAACTGGTCAGTTGAAAAATAAACTAACTTATGTTTGTCGATCAGATTGCTCATAGTAAAACAGTCCATGATCATGTGATAGTTGAAATGCCAACTTCCATTCCACAATTCGTTTGCCGTCAGCTGTAGCATATTTATCATTTTTGTGTTGTTCCATTTAGTGTTAAAGGTCCAGTACACTCTGCTGATTGAGCTATATAGCTGTAAAGACCTATAATAGCTCTATTGACCTATCTGAAATAGGTCTTTAGAGCTATTTTCATGTGATTTTCTTTTTTAAGGAAAACGAAACAAAGTCGCTTTTAAAATAAGATTTTATCATTATGTTGGTAACAAAAGACATCAAATATAAGTATTCTTTTTAAAAAATAATGATGTAAAAAAATCGAAAATTTTACATTTATGAAAAATGAAAATAAACATCTAACTGTATGCTTTTTGTAGTCAACATTACCATACAACTTATTGTTTAATGCGACTTTGGTTTAATTTAATGAGATTTGAAATCTGAGAAAATATAGCTCAATAGACAATACTGCTATAATTTATAGGTGAATATAGCTATAGTTATAGCTCAATCGGCAGAGTGTACTGGACCTGTGTTAGACCTTGCACCTTATACATCAAATTGAGTACAACTATAAAATGTACACATAATTTCTTTTTTAACTTAACTGAGAAAGATCAACCACTGTGATATTAGTAATACCACGGAATTAGACTATAGTCCGTGGTAATACCGTATCCTCAAATCTGATGAATATTCATTAGCTAAGGTTGTCACGTGACAATAACGGCAGATTCTTAAAATAACATTCAGATAATTGCACTCATCCAATATGCACAAAATTAACAACGAAATATGGAAGTCGAATCGTAAGTCTCTGCGACGGGTTATTATTGTAAAGCATTGCTTGCAATATCGACTAAACCGGAACAAGTAACAGTTTTACCTGTAACACAACCCAGGTCCCTGTGCCGCCGCCCTATTCCCCTCTCCTTCATACAAAAACCTGTGCTAAAATGAAAAGATTTAAATGTGTGATTGAAGAGTACATATCAGTCGTGAGGCTGATGACATACCTTGTTGAGGAAAACTCAGTTTTATATTATGATAACGTAGTTATTCGCCTCATTGTTAAATATCGGTAAACTGTGTATTCCAGGTCAGTGACAGGTGCGCGCATACCGGATGTGACGTAACGGTCTTAATAAAAATAACGTTAAGTGACAGACTGGAACGACAACAAGTGTTTAGAGAGTTCAAGTGAAAGTAAATTATATTTTCGTTGATATTGGTTAAATTGAAAACACAGCTAGGTCTTGTAAGCACATTTTTTTTCATTCTATTTGCGGAAAATCGGCATACAGCCAGCACGACCAGGAAATTGTTAATGACTTGTTTTGAAAATATGTATTTGACAATTTTCGATTATCGGATACGACACGAGTATATCTATTAACAGGGGAGATTCTACATTGTGGATCTTCACCGAGGGCCTTACTGAACAACCGGTTTGTCTGTTTTTAAATGTAACATTTTCGGGAAAAAAAATCCTTGCGGAAATGCAAATGTAGGATTTGCAAGACTCGCCTGAAAAGAAGCATCAGATTACAAGTTTTGCTATGAGAATATCTCGATTGGCAATTAGCTTTACGTTTTCATTTTCCTGGCACTTCCGGTTCAGACGGTGTCGTTTCTATGTTTACTTCCTTGTTACTTCCGTGTCAACAACAGTAAGTTCTATTATTTCTGCAGAACACTGATACTAGTTCATATTTTGTTTTTGTTACAGCCACTTGGACCATCGCAAGTTTTTTTTTATAAAAGATGAAAATTACACAGGCGCTTGTATGAGGCCGGTGTCAATAACACAGGCGCTCGTCCGAGGCATGCATGCATATCTCTACTTACTTGTCTGAGGTCAATGTCACTTGTCTGAGTTCACTGTGGCTTGCCAAAAGTCAATGTCGCTTGCCAAATGTCAATGTCACTTGTCTGAGGTCGGTGCCAATCTTTTGAGGTCTGAGAGTGACACATGTCTAAGTTCAGTGTCACTTGTCTTAGGTCAATTTCACTAATCTGAGGTTAATTACTCTTTTCTGATGTCAATGCCACTTGTCTAAGGTCAATGTCTCTTGTCTAAGGTCCAAGTATTTTGTCTAAGGTCATTGCAACTGGTCTAAAGTCAGTGTAAATCTTTTGAGGTCAGACTGTCATTGGTCTGAGGTCATTTTAAATGTCTGAGATCAGTGTCACCTATCTGAGGTCAGTGTCAAATGTCTGACGTCAGTGTCATCTGTCTGAGGTCAGTGTAACTTGTCTGAGGTTAATGTCACTTATTTGAGGTCAGTACGTGTAACTTGTCTGAGGTCAGTGTAACTTGTCTGAGGTCAATGATACTTGTCTGAGGTCAGTGTCACTTGTCCGAGGGCAGTGTAACTTGTCCAAGGTCAATGCCACTTGTCTGAGGTTAATGTCACTTGTCTAAGGTCAATGTCACTTGTCTGAGGTTAGTTTTTCTTGTCTGAGGTCAGTGTCAGTTGTCTGAGGGCAGTGTAACTTGTCTGAGGTCAGTGTAACTTGTCTGAGGTCAATGTCACTTTCCTGAGGTCAGTGTAACTTGTCTGATGTCAGTATCACTTGTCTAAGGTCAATGTAACTTGTCTGAGGTCAGTGTAACTTGGCTGAGGTCAGTGTAACTTGTCTGAGGTCAATGTCACTTGTCTGAGGTCAGTGTAACTTGTCTGAGGTCAGTGTAACTTGGCTGAGGTCAGTGTAACTTGTCTGAGGTCAATGTCAGTTGTCTGATAATCCTGTGGCTAATGTCAAAAGTCAATAAAACTTGTCTAAGTTCAGTTTCACTTGTCTGAGGTCAGTGTAACTTGACTGAGGTCAATGTCACTTGTCTGAGGTCAGTGTAACTTGTCTGAGGTCAGTGTAACTTGGCTGAGGTCAGTGTAACTTGGCTGATGTCAGTGTCACTTGTCTAAGGTCAATGTCAGTTGTCTGAGAATCCTGTGGCTAATGTCAAAAGTTAATAAAACTTGTCTAAGTTCAGTGTAACTTGTCTTAGGTCAATTTCACTAATTTGAGGTCAATGACTCTTTTCTGAGGTCAATTTCACTTGTCTAAGGTATGTGTCAATTGTCAAAGGTCAATGTAAGTTGTCTGAGGTCAGTGTATGACACTTGTCTAAGGTCATTGTCAGTTGCCTTAGCTTATTTGTTATTCAGAAGAATATGTAAAATTATTCTAACACATGTGACCCCTGTGGCCTTGAAAGTGAATTTTCATTGATAATCTTTCATCCCAGCATAGTATTTACAAAATGTCATCATCCTAAGCCCTTTAGTTATTCTGAAAAAGTTGTTTAAATGTTTTTAACACATTTATTCCTGTGACCTTGAATATGGGTGAAGGTCATTCATTTGAATGGGCTTGATATATTAGCCGTTTATCCCAACATGCTACTTGCCAAAAATCACCAACCTATAGGCTCTTTAGTTATTCAGGAAAAGTTGTTTTAACTCATTTAACCCTTGTGACCTTGAATATGGGTGAATGCCATTCATTTGGACAAACTTAAGGTGTGTGGCATGACTTGGCAGAGTGACTGCAGATTATTTATGTGTCACCTAGAGTTTGGAGGTCCTTGGTTTGAATCCATGTCTGTCCTTCAGTTGCAGTTTTCTTCCCCTACTGCACATCTTTGACTCAACACTCAGTCTCAGTAGAGCCTGGCAGTAAAACAACACTGTAGATTCACTTGATAAATTTGATAAAAAAAACAAGAACTGTATATAGATCCAACAGGATTTAACATATTACGTAAGTGGTGAATTGAATTTTGCAGAATTAAATGGATGAGCTAGGACCACCTGCAGACTGGCAGTGTGATCTTTCCCTACTCCAAAGCCTGGAACATCTTTACTCGACAGGGATCGTCAGTGATGTCACCTTCGTGGTCGGAGATACACGGATTAATGGCCATACAGTGATCCTGATGGCCAGGAGCTCTGTATTCTACACCATGTTAACACAGCCTCACATTAAATCATTGGAAGTCAATGTCACAGACACAGATGTGGATACCTTTACTGTATTTCTCAGGTAATTATATATAATTATCAGCCGTTACTGAACCCAGTCATGTTTGTTACTAACTATTTATAATATTTACTAGCAGTAAATACAGCAAAACCTCATTATACTGTCACTGTTGGAATTAACTTAGAATTTGTAAAGAGGTTTGGTGATAAATTTACTGACTTTTTGGTCAGATAGCCTCTCTAGTTCCATGTCTTTTGTTAGAATTGACTTTATAGCTCCGTTCTGTTGATAGGCCTTGCACTAGCTCCATCTTCTTTGGTAAGATTCTTTTGTGTTTTAATATCTTTTTTAGATTTTGAATTTAGCTCCATTTCCATCAGCTTGGTACCAGGGATATATATGTATCCTTATGTTTTATCAAAGGCATATTTTTTTATTTTTGAAATCCAAGAATAAGTTTCATGATTGACATAATTTAGAAATAATTATGGTTTAGAATTCTTCAATCCTTTTATATAGCCTCGGCTGTTTCAGGTACCTATACACAGACACTATAACATTAACAGTAGACCTGGCGACTTCTATGTTACCTGTGGCACGTCGTTATCGCGTGAATCACCTCTCGAAGAAGTGTGAGACATTCCTACAGGCCCAAACGTTACACAAGGTGTCGTCAGTCGATTCTTCAACACAAAATGAGCAACACTTACAGCAGAACCAGCGTTAGTATATTCAACCTATTTCCTTGGTCAAGTTTATTACTAGATCTTCCGCAGTGTCAAGTCATAATGTCCCGGTGTGAATGACAGTCAGCTTCCCATGTCCCTGTGCAATTGGTAGTATCAAGCATCATGTCTCTGTGTAACATTCAGTGTCAGACTCACATATTCCTGTGTAACATTCAGTGTCAGACTCACATATCCCTGTGTAACATTCAGTGTCAGACTCACATATTCCTGTGTAACATTCAGTGTCAGACTCACATATCCCTGTATAACATTCAGTGTCAGACTCACATATCCCTGTGTAACATTCAGTATCAGACTGGCATGTCCCTTTGTAACTTTCAGTGTCTGAATCCATGTCCCTTTGTAACTTTCAGTGTCCGGTTCCCATGTCACTATGAACTGATTGTTAGTTCCTTTATAATGTCCCTGTGTTACCTTCAGTGTAAGATCCCCCATTTTCCAGTGTAAATTTCAGTGTCAGGCTCCTATGTCCCTGTGTAAATGAGTGTCTGCAGTTCCCTAAAATGTCATGTGTGACTTTCAGTGTCAAGTTCCAACGTCGTTTAACTTTCAATGTCAAGTTCCCATGTCCCTGTGTAACTTTCAGTGTAAGGTCCCTTTATCCCTGTGGAACTACATGTCCCTGTGTAACTTTATATCCCAAGTTCCTGTGCAACTAATGTGATCAAAGCTCTTGGCTAAGAATGTAACTTACATGCTTGGTATCTTAAATGTTTTAACGTTATTGGTATGCATTAGACATGTATATATATATATATACATACAGAATTTGATGGGTAAGACAATTGTCTGATTTAATGTCATCTACATGTTTTATAATTTGATTTCAATATTTATTTTGTTCCATTTGACAAATATTTTAATCCTCACTTACTATCCACAAAGCAACACTTTTCAAGAATGTTATGAGCATTTCTTTTTATTTCAGTAAACAAGGATGTACATACAAATTCTGAAACAGTGAAAGACGTGGTTACAACTGTCAAGATTTCAACTACAAAAGGAAAATCAACACACCCCTCACAGTTTGTGTGTAACATATGTGGGAAAATATACAGGTTTAGAAAGAAATATATAGCTCATATGTCGATGCACCCCACGTACACTCGGCACCAGTGCAACGTGTGTGGAAACACGTTCTCCAGCAACGGACATCTGAAGCGACATCTCAAAATACATACAGAGCAGAAACAGCACAAATGTGATATCTGTGACAAACACTTCCATGACCTTGATCGACTGAAGAGACACCATCGTATACATTTAGGAGAAAAGCCGCACATGTGCGACATATGTGGTAAAAAGTTCAGCGAGGCAGGCAACCTTCGTAAACACCACATGATTCACACGAACGTGAAACCGTTTATTTGTGAGAAATGCGGGAAGGGTTACTCGGTGCAGTATGAATTGAAGCAGCACCTTAAGGCCCACGCCCGCGAGAAACCATACAAGTGTGACATATGTCGAAAAGGATTCGATCAGCCGGAAACTTTACTGAGTCACACAGTTGAACATATAGGAAAGAAACTGAACAAGTGTGATATATGTGGGAAATTCTACAGCAGGGAGTCAGCACTTAAGGTACATCGCAGGGTCCACACGGGGGAGAAACCCTACAAGTGTCCCATGTGTGGAAAAGTGTTTACCAACTCTGGTGATAGACAGCGACATATCAAGATACATACTGGAGACAAGCCACACAAATGTAATGTCTGTGGGAAAGGATTTACTGACAAAAAATACCTCAGGACTCATACAAGGACACACAGGTCACTACAGACAACACCTATATCTGGTGTCTGACAAGATATACCTCAGGACTCATACAGGTCACTACAGACAACACCTATATCTGGTGTCTGACAAGATATACCTCAGGACTCATACAGGTCACTACAGACAACACCTATATCTGGTATCTGACAAGATATACCTCAGGACTCGTACAAGTCACTACATACAACACATATATCTGGTGTCTGACAAGATATACCTCAGGACTCATACAGGTCACTACGTACAACACCTATATCTGGTGTCTGACAAGATATACCTCAGGACTCATACAGGTCACTACAGACAACACCTATATCTGGTGTCTGACAAGATATACCTCAGGACTCATACAGGTCACTACATACAACACCTATATCTGGTGTCTGACAAGATATACCTCAGGACTCATACAGGTCACTACATACAACACCTATATCTGGTGTCTGACAAGATATACCTCAGGACTCATACAGGTCACTACATACAACACCTATATCTGGTGTCTGACAAGATATACCTCAGGACTCATACAGGTCACTACATACAACACCTATATCTGGTGTCTGACAAGATATACCTCAGGACTCATACAGGTCACTACATACAACACCTATATCTGGTGTCTGACAAGATATACCTCAGGACTCATACAGGTCACTACATACAACACCTATATCTGGTGTCTGACAAGATATACCTCAGGACTCATACAAGTCACTACATACAACACCTATATCTGGTGTCTGACAAGATATACCTCAGGACTCATACAGGTCACTACATACAACACCTATATCTGGTGTCTGACAAGATATACCTCAGGACTCATACAGGTCACTACATACAACACCTATATCTGGTGTCTGACAAGATATACCTCAGGACTCATACAGGTCACTACATACAACACCTATATCTGGTGTCTGACAAGATATACCTCAGGACTCATACAGGTCACTACATACAACACCTATATCTGGTGTCTGACAAGATATACCTCAGGACTCATACAGGTCACTACATACAACACCTATATCTGGTGTCTGACAAGATATACCTCAGGACTCATACAGGTCACTACATACAACACCTATATCTGGTGTCTGACAAGATATACCTCAGGACTCATACAGGTCACTACATACAACACCTATATCTGGTGTCTGACAAGATATACCTCAGGACTCATACAGGTCACTACATACAACACCTATATCTGGTGTCTGACAAGATATACCTCAGGACTCATACAGGTCACTACATACAACACCTATATCTGGTGTCTGACAAGATATACCTCAGGACTCATACAGGTCACTACATACAACACCTATATCTGGTGTCTGACAAGATATACCTCAGGACTCATACAGGTCACTACATACAACACCTATATCTGGTGTCTGACAAGATATACCTCAGGACTCATACAGGTCACTACATACAACACCTATATCTGGTGTCTGACAAGATATACCTCAGGACTCATACAGGTCACTACATACAACACCTATATCTGGTGTCTGACAAGATATACCTCAGGACTCATACAAGTCACTACAGACAACACCTATATATCTGGTGTCTGACAAAATATACCTCAGGACTAGCACCAGTCACTACAGACAACACCTATATCTGGTGTCTGACAAGATATACCTCAGGACTCATACAAGTCACTAAATACAACATCTATATCTGGTGTCTGACAAGATATACCTCAGGACTCGTACAGGTCACTACATACAACACCTATATCTGGTGTCTGACAAGATATATACCTCAGGACTCGTACAGGTCACTACATACAACGCCTATATCTGGTGTCTGACAAGATATACCTCAGGACTCATACAAGGATACACAAGTCACTACATACAACATATATATCTGGTGTCGGATGGTGAAGTGGATAGTGCACTTGCCTTTCACCAAGGCGGCCGGGGTTTGATTCCCTGATTGGATGTGAAAAGCTATGGGGTTACCTGCCAAACCACGTGGGTTTTCTCCGGGTACTTCAGTTTCCTCCCACAATAAGACCCCCTGCATGCTTACATCAGGGCCAACAAGAGTGATTAATATAAGTTGAAAAATCAATACAATTTATATATATCCGGTGTCTGACAAGATATACCTCAGGACTTGTATCAGGACACATAACGTCATATTGAGATTTACTAGTGTGTTGTTAGATGGCACAGTTGTTAGCACACTCGCCTTTCACCAAGACAGCCAGGGTTCAATTACCTGGTTGGACTTGAATATGGTACATTGTATTTGGTCCCCAGCCCTACACTGTGTGTTTTCTCTGGATGCTCTACACTGTTCCCATATCAAAACCCCCACACACTACCATCCTAGCCAACAAGAGTGATTAATAAAAGTTTGGAAAACCTATTTCATAATTGTTGTAATTGAAGTAAAGTTTATACATGTAGCGGAAATGGACTGGGTTGATCGTCGACGACCAGGTAGCTCAATTGATAGAGGGTGTGTCTGGAATTTGGAGGGTCCCAGGTTTGAACCGCGGACTGGCTGTTGCATTTCTCTTTCTCCTATTACAAATACTATTGGGATAAACTGACAAAAATACCTTAGTGCTGACACCAAGCATACAAGTCATCAGACCATAGCTATGTCTGGTACTGATGAAAGTGTGTATGAGCAAGGAACGGAAGTTTACATTAACAAGGAGCCGAGAACAAATTAGACAAATACACTTTACAAAACTTAAGTCTTTTGATTTTACTGTCGTTATTCCTGTGTGATATGAATAAAGAAATATCAACAAAGACTGTTAGACAATGATGATTTAAAGTCTAGATACTGACTTAAAATAGTTCTGTGTCTACAGTATAGATGTAGAGATGTTTCACTTTATTATAAATATTTCTCTTGTGTACATTACATAGCTTCATAGGGGTGTTTGCAAAACATTTCTCTCTCAGCATTGAACATGAACAAGCTATACTCGTCATTCTGTCTGACAATATATGTGAGAAAATGAAATAATAATGACAAGAAAACCATTGTTTTTATGTTTTATTTATTTTAAAAATTTGAAAAAACACCTGAACGTTATAACCCTTTCACCCCTATGTATCTTTAATAGACAATACTGTGCATAGATATGGACAAGTCCATTATGGTCTACAGTGGTGAAAGGGATAAGGGCACCTCTTGACATATGCACTTTTCATTTTCGCTAGAATCCACTACATATATAAACACTCTGATTAGGTTTACTTTTTTAATGTGGAAAGTTGTTCTTTTGTTATTGTTCCTTCACTACCGTTATTCCATATGTTTCTTACCTGTTGATATATTTCAAGCTTTTGGCAATTTCAATCAAATCAGTCTTCTGCATCAAGAATCGTTAGGGCAAACATTAATACATATGGAGTTTCCTTCAGTGATATTCATCAGATATACAGTTACTTATTTTATATAGTTGCTTTTGTTGATGTACTGGTACATCGTTATTGATATTGGATCATTTGTTGAATAAAAATTCAAAAGCAAAAAAACAAAAAATCCAAATATTTTTCGCTCACCTTGCACAAAGATCCATGTGAGCTTATGCCGTACTGCTGCGTCCGTCCAGTCCTTCGTACGTCCGTCAACTTTCTCTTTTGAACGACTTCTTCTGAAGAACTGGAGGACCTAAGGTCACGACATTTGATCAGTAGGTAGATGGGATGGAGTGCTATAAAATGTCCTCATTAAAATGACCTTGACCTACTTTCAAGGTCACAGGGGTCAAATATGTTAAACACTTCAAACAACAATATCCTAAGAACCATTTGTCTAGAGAGTCATGATACTGGGGTATGTTATGTAGACCAGGTGTATGAATCGTTTTCTATATTACAGTAATGAGGTCAAAGGTCAACTTTAAGTGCTAGCCGGAGTCAAAGGTCAACGTGGGTTAAAAGCTTTAAAATTGAAATTTCAAACAACAATATCTTAAAAACTGTTTAAGAGATGTTACAATGTCTTGTGTTCTAGTTACCAAATTTGGTCTTAGGTTACCTATATTATGTCAGTTTCATGTAACATAAGAAACAGGTGAGCGATACAGGCCATCTGGGCCTTTTGTTATTGTTCATATCGTTATATTGTAAAAGTGGGAATATTACATGGGGTGGATACATGTGGGCCCCGTTTTTGTGTTGGGTAAATTAATGCGAAAAATATCCGCACGCAAATATTTATTTATAGACTACATGTATATAGAATATAGATGTATGTACTATATAGATACCTGAACCATTTCCGACGTTAGCGTTTCTATATCGTGCGACCAGTTTAAAGAGCCATAACGCAAACATGTCCACGGTAGTCTAGCGGTAGGCGCTAGGCTGGTGACCGAAGGGTTGCGGGTTCGAGTCACGGCACGGCACTGTGTTGTATCTGTGAACAAGATACTTGCTCCGCTTGTTACCAGCGCTTGTTCCAGTTTACTCAGCTGTAAATGTGTACGTGGTTGGGCAGTGTTGGCATTGTTGAATGCTAGCTGTGAGCGCCGAAATGGCAGCACCGACTGTATGCTCCCCAGAGAGTTGAGAAAGTTATTGGCTGGTTGCAAAGGCCCGGATAATTATTTGTGAACAGCTTTGAGACGACCTACAGGCATACCGTTTCCCGGAGAGCATTTTCTTTAGTAAAGGACCCAGGAAGAAATATCAGGGACACATATCTGGTGAATAGGGAAGGCTACCTTCTCTTGTTTCAAACACTCCTGTACTATAGCTGTTGTGGGATGAAGCATTGCCGCGAATTACCTGGATGCCATTCAACCTTAAGCTTTTACTTGGACGCTTTTTGTTCAATTGAAAAATATTGGCATACAGCTGAGTAGAATGAAAAGTATTTATTGTGAGTTTCTCATCAACATTTAATCCATAAGCTTGCACAATACGGAATATCGGGGAGACTCTCCTCTTGGATAGCTGATGTTTTACCAGAAAGAAAACAAAGGGTCGTAGTGAATGGAGAAAAGTCGGAATGGAACCATGTAATAAGTGGCATACCGCAAGGATCGGTTTTAGGGCCACTTTTATTTGTAATACATATGAATGACATGCCTGATGTAACAAGTCCCAGATCGAATTCATTCCTTTTCGCGAATGATACGAAAGATTTTAGGGCAGTTTATGATGAACAAGATTGTAAGATTTTACAACAGGATATATTTTCTCTCTAAAAGTGGTCAGAGGCTTGGCATCTTCGTTTCCATCCAGACAAATGCAAAGTGATGCGCGTGAGACACTCCAATATTAATCAAATGCAGTCACACTTAAGGAAAGTGCAGAAGCATTGAAACTTGTGACCTTCGAAAAAGACATCGGTGTCATCATAGACAATAGATTATCATTTGATAAGTTTATCATGTTTACATATATCTGAAAAAGTAAATAAAGCGAATTCCATTTTGGGAGTTCTACGAAGAACAATGGAATATATATACTTGGAGAGTTTTAGATTGCTATATACATCTTTAGTTAGACCACACATTGAATACCCGAATCAGGTGTAGTGTCCTCATCTCGAAAAACACACTGAAACAACAGAAAATGTTCAACGTCGAGAAACGAAGGGGGTACCTGGCCTAAAAGACCTATCACATAAGGAGCGATTAGAAAAACTAAAACTACCAACACTAGCATATAGAAGATGAAGTGGCAACATGATAGAGGTTTACAAAATATTGTCCGGGAAATATGACCATGAAGAATCCGACATATTTAATATCAGGGAAGGTTCATCTACACGTGGACACAACTTTAAAATTTACAAATCGCGTTTAAGATTAAATATAATAAAATTTTCGTTTGCACACAGAAAAAGAGGTTACACAACGAGTGGTTGATGAATATGGTATTTATTTCACCCGAGTTAGTTAATTTTCAAAAGTTACAAAAGACACGAGCTTTAGCGAGTGTCTTTCTGTAACTTTTGAAAAATAACTAACGAGAGTGAAATAAATACCAAACTCAACAACCACGAGTCGTGTGATCTACACACATGTGTTTGTTAACAAGGCTGGCGTAGTGATATGACCCATATGAAAAAAGTCACTCATTAATATTCAAAAATTAACTTTTTTTTACAAATTTAATTAAGGTCAAAACTAATGTTTCGGCAACAACTTCGTGAAAAAATAAAAATAGATAAATGACTTTAAATATTGAGAGTAGCAGTATTGCATTAATTTATATAAATTAACCACGGACTATATGCGCGTAAGCATATCGTACGAAGTCTGCCTCCCGCCAAGTGATGAACCGTTGTAGACGAACTTATCGCTGTCAATATCCAAAACCATAGGCCTACGTTTCTTCGTGACAGTTCTATGGTTGACGTTTATAGTGAAAGTTCAGCCATAGTCAGACCGTCTAAATAGCGATAACGGGACGTTGGGAGAACGAAATATTTCCCGACACTGTGACAGATCTTGTTTTGGTTTCACGACCTGGACACGCGACGGTGTGACGTTGAAACGATATCGAGCGTCTGTAGCAATTTTGCCTGAAACTAGCGATCAAATCTTTAAGTATCATCTTTTAATATTGCCTTAATAACCCCCCTTTCCGCATAACCTCACAAAGTCACCAACAGTTGTCGGATGTTGACAGTCGACGACGTAAACAAAACAGCAGGTGGAAAAAGTCTTCCTGGTCAAAGTTCATCTTCTCGACCAATCAAAACTCTTGAAGGTCATATTCCGCATGTGGTATATATAACTGAGAGTGGAATAACACAGCGTATTGTGGTAGAAATGTTGATATATGGAACAATCTCCCGTCAACTGTTGTGAACTCAAGCACAGTGAAACAATATTTTATTATTTTGAATATAATTTGATGAACACTGGCAATTTTTATTTAATTGTTGTTTTATATTTATTTCAGAGCTGACTGTCAAAGGATTGTAAAATCCTTATTTTGTCAGAATAGATATATTTATCTATGTAAAACGTTCTTGGTGCTTGTTATATGTCTTGTTATATGGCCGTGCCTAATTTTCGACACTCATTCATTAATGCACCTTTAGGGTTAAAAAAACACCCACGTCTCGTCCTCTGTAAGTAATTCGGACAATTTTTTTCGAGTCGCAATACTCGTACTTCTTCAATTCTGTATATCTTTATCTTTCAAACGTTTGGCCTTTTGTGCAACAGCAATGTTCTTTTTTGATGCTGCAACCTCAGTGACAACTGGCCTGCCTGTGTCCACTTTGATGTCAACTGAAACTTGTTCACCCATCTGAAAACAGTGCTGAATGTGGCGGCAGAGATGCCGTTTATGCTTCACAACTCTGCGTGTATCTGTACATGTGTTGGCGGTACATGTAAAGCACACATGCATGCTTTGATATAGGAGCGTAATTCAGATGTACATTTGTAGTCTCAACCTTCATTTCAGCAGTGAAACGTAGCCAATAGTCACGAATGCATACCATTCAACAATGAATACATTGTTCAATTAATGTCGGATGATGTCGAAATTTTGCACGTGCAATGTTCTTTGAATACTTTTGCAGTCTGCTAAGGCCCTTTATAATCTATTCTATTGCCTGTTCGTACGGGGACTGTGTGGTGAAAAAAATATTGAATGGCCCCGTACATATCCAATGAGGCTACCTATATATTGTAGAGAGAGATAAATTCACTGGTATTACGTCCTTAAAGGACCTTAGCTATTAATAGGACGTTAAACAAAATAAAACCAAACTTTACGAAAGGCAACCGCCGTTTGATCTTCCGGTCTCTGCCGTTTTTGTGGTCACGCGCACGGTATATGTATTTCCCGCCGTCGTCTTTCACTTGTGTATGACATTTATCTTAATCCGTAGACTTGTTCCATGTTTTCGTTTTGATGTAGACCCTGCAGGTCGTGGATTGATGAAAGAACACATTTAGCTGTTGTCACTGCATGTTCTAATTGGCATCTATAATATGGGAACCCCTTGCAGAATTAGGAATTAGCTTTGGAACTCTTAAATCTGGGATAGAAAAGTGACAAATCTGCACCCATTGCATTTTTTTGGATCTTTGTATCTGTCTACTTCTAACTACCTTTTGTTTCCGCCTAGTGCCTTGCTTGACGGAACCTTCATTTTAATTTTGTTGAATCATATCCGTCGCCCATGTCAGTTTCAAGAAAGACATTAGTCCACTTTCAAGGTCATTATGGTCAAATGCCCATAAATATTTAGATGACTTCTTTTGAATAATGAAGATGCCTTTGGTCGTGTTATTTTTGGCCTCTTTATCACATGTACATGTGCATCGCATGACCTTTACTCAGGGTCACAGGAGTATACTAAATAACCACTAGTTTAAATCAGTGCTCGGTATGTAATTATATACAATATCTTTATAACATGCATTCAAAAGAAGTCGGCGATTTTTTTTACTTGAAGTTTCCCGTCGTATTTTCTTCCCTGTTCGGTATTTAGTTATCCATTCTACAATAACCACTACTTCCGGTTACAATGTGAAAGATGTTAGCCTTAGACTGCCCGACCTGTTAGAAGGTAGCTGTGGAAGGCAAATTTTGAACGGATACTATACTGACAGCTGTTTTGACGTATCTATGTTTCCTACGGAAATAACAACTAACATGATTATCTAGAGCACAGGTTGAAGCATTCGGTAAGTATCAGTTACTTGTCTATCTGCACGGTTTACTGATTGAATAATTCCTGTATCTAAATCAGAGAGAGAGAGATTTATAAAGAGTTCATACAGGAATTAATTTACTGATTGAATAGCTGTACAAACACATTTGAACTCTTCCAATTCAAAGGTTGGTATAGTTCATTATGAAATCTCAGGGATGAATGAGTTAAGACAGTTTATCCGCTCGATGACCAGAGTGAGTGATTACAAGGTAAGGTTCGGATAGCTTAATGTATCGCGCTGTTCATGATTCATTTTCTACAGTAGATACAAAAACAACTACGTTTACAAAGCGGAGCAGAAACAAATAAAGTTGCCAGTGAGATCTGAATGCTTTGGATATAATTATTTCGGGTTTCTAACGTTACTCTGCATTAACCCAAGAAACTTGTAAGAACAATTATTGCAATACATGTAAATTATCATTTTAAAATTATTTTGCAATATATATATTTCTAGATCGATATTGCAATATATTGGTATTGACATATTAGTTATTGCCATCTATTGGCTACTAATTATTGCATACATTAGGTACACCTGTCAACAATTTTGACTGAACATATTATTGTTCATGTATACTTGATGCAAAGTGTCCGTCCCTGCTGTCGATATCTTAATGTCGGTTTCCACAAGAAACCTGCAAACTGCTTTATTATCGTTAGATTTTGATGAAACTGTTTTACGCATGTAAAATATAGAAAGTCCAAGACCAAGTTCAAAGTTAAGCAAAATATGCAAGTGTTTTAATTAACATGCTGTGTTTTTGATTGGTTATTGATATCACACAATAACTTTGTCATATATAACCACTGATTCAGATAAAACTGAGTCAATATTAGTTATTTATATCGTACAAATTAAGACAAAGGTGTTAAACAAATCTTCACATATATATATATACATGTAGTAGCACACTGTGTTCGAGAATGCATCAAAATGATATTAATTATGTCAGTTGGGCGTGGGATGGGTATATACTGTTCTTCCCCTGTGGTACTCCTGTTATTGTATCTGTTTGTGCAGTGTATGTGTAGCAGAACTGGACAAGGTCAAACAGAGGTACATGGAGCTCAATTAATAGACCATCCAATCCATCTTAGAGTTCATGCAGAGGGTCCAGGGTTCGATTTCCAATCTGGCCGTTGCATTTCTCTTTCTCCTATTACAAATGTAGATCACGAAAAAATAATTCTAATTGACAAATTACTGTTACTTTTACAGATAAAGATGGCCAGTGACCCAGTTGTGCCTGTTGCCAACGACGACTGGCAGAGTGTCGGAACCCAAACCCATGCTGACTGGCAGGGTGACAGAACACTAACTCAGTGTCTCGATTATCTCTTTACCTCCGGCATGCAAAGCGACGTTACATTTGTGGTCGGAGAATCCAATGATAGAATTTCAGCTCACCAAATCGTCCTCATTTCCAGAAGTCCTGTATTCTATGCCATGTTAGCTGATCAGCAGTCCAGCTCATGGGAGATAACTATGTTTAATACAACCAAGAATATGTTCACTGTATTTCTCAGGTAAAATTATATTCATGTAACTCCCAGGTAAAGATATGACATAGATTTGTTCATCTTCCTTCTCAGATAAGTATAGGTCAAGTATTTGCTAAATAAAACACTTGAGGCTGCCAGGGATATTAATTTAACCAGGGACAGTATATAGACTATACGTCCCTGATTTAACTTATTTCTAAGATAAACCAGGGCTAAATTCACCTAATTTCTCTTGTCACCTTATTTCTGAGATAAATAAGGGATAAATTCCCTTTATTAGTCCCCTACGGTCACCGGTTCCCTTATAGGTTTAATTTTGCATTTTGTCTGTCAGTATCCTGTCTATCACAAAAGTTTGTCGGGTATGCAAGTATTTTTCTGGGATGTTGGAGTGTCAGTTACAAAAAGTAGATCAATGTGACCTATAGTTTGACTGTTGACCTCTACCTTTCGGAGATAAATTCTGACAGGTAACACATCTGTAACGTGTACTGACTCTAACATATTTACCCTGGCCTTGTCGACTGTAATACTTATATGTATCATACTTTCCAACTCTCCAGATTTTGGACCCAAGTATTGAACATTTCAACTAGTGACTTCGCTAAACTATTCCTTTATTCTCAAATCTAAAGATTTTATCTGAAATAACATAAATCAAAATGTGGGTATTAACACACATGTCATTTTATAAAACTTTCAATTTTGAGCTCATGGAATATCCATGATGGAAATTAAAAAAACTTGGCTAGTATGGTGTATTAGTTGTTAAGAGCCTTACATTTATAATGACCTGTCTCACACTGTATACATTCCAGGTACTTATATACAGACTTGATAGAACTGACCATTGAAGCCGCCACGTCTATTCTACCCATAGCCAGACAATACGCTGTCAGCCATCTTGTGAAGAAATGTGAACAGTTTATCCACGAAAGCATTGTTCATCAAAAAGTATGTTGTGTGACCATGTATAAGGAACCAGCCGAGGTACAGCTGCTGTATTCCCAAAACATGGAGGATCTGACATCAAGGAGAAAAGATGTAAACAGTGAAACCTCATCAGCAGAGAAAGTGAAGAATGAGAAGTGTATAAATGAGGAGATGTTAGAATCTGGTCATGCAGCTGGTCACTTACATAAAAAAGATATCATGGAGGAAAAGTTAAATGATAATAAAAGAAGCAGAATATGTTATAATATAGTTCAGACCGATGAAGGCGACAGAATAGGGGAGAATTCATTTGAACCTATTGATTCATTGAACTGTTTGTACCCAAAAAAGGTTTTTCAGGAAAAACTCTGTGGCACTGACTTGACTGTGAAACCTGAGGTCACAGAGGTCATAGCTGACCAATCAGCATTGATATCATTTTCTTCAACAGAGCTGACTTTATCAGGAGGTCTGGAGGAACGGGACGGTAAGAACCCTCAAAGTTTCAAACTTCCTTCACCTGTATGTATACTGGTTTAGAGAGGATATCATCATGCAGTGTATGTCTACATGTTAGAGGTACGTGTTAAATAAGACACTAATGTTCTCTAAAACTCAGAAATTCTTTTTTTTTTAACTCCTAAATATGTCACTTTAACATACCCTATAATACCGGACAAGGAGACAAATGAACTATTCTATTATTTCATATATAAGTTTCACCTGGTACTAGTCCGAATTATTCTGACGTTTATCAACTTTTTTCATATCGGTCTGGCGTCGATTAACGTCAGAACTCCGGCCCTCTATAATATGCGGGAAATATGCGACCCGCGCCCGGGGCGCACTTCAAAGTGATATTTTAGAAACAAATCGTCACTTTCACACACATGTCGCACATGGATCGATAAAACGTCGAATAATTCGGACTAACCTGGTACATGCAAAAAGCAGTAAAATTCAAATGAGGTTTTTCAACAGTGCATATTGACAAAACTAATATCACTGTACAGATCAAGAGAAGTGTTTTTGGAAACATAAATACTGTGGCTAGAAGATAGAGAGTTTATAGAAATATTAAGTGACTATAAAATTTATGAAAACATAAATACATTGATAAGAACGGTGTATGGAGATATAAATACATTGACCAGAAGGGGTTAAGGAGATATAAATAGTGTGACTTTAGAAACTTTAATGTATACATAAATACAGAAAAAAGGAGTTAGAATTCACAGAGACATAAATAAAGTTACTATATAGATTTGTTTAATATGTAGACATAAAAACAGTGACATAATTGATTCATGAGGACATAAATACAGTGTACGGTTACTATGATTAAAAGGGTTTATTGCGAAAATAAATGCAGTGGCTATACAAATATGCGGTGACTAGAAAATATTAATGAAGACAAATACAGCTTAGAAAGTTAACAGAGGACATAAATACAGTCACTAGAAGAGTTTATGGAGACATAAACAGTGTCTGGAAGGGTTTTTGGAGACATAATTACAATGACTAGAAGGGTTTATGGGAACATAAATGCAATGACTAAAAGGGTTTTATGGAGACATAAATACAATGGCTAGAAGGGTTTTATGGAGACATAAATACAATGGCTAGAAGGGTTTGTGGCTAGAAGGGGTTGTGGCTAAAAGGGGTTTAGGGAACAAACATGCAATGCCCAAAAAGGTTTTTTGGAGACAAATATTCAATGGCTAGAAGGGATTTATGGAGACATAAATACAATGGCTAAAAGGGTTTTATGGAGACATATATTCAATGGCTAGAAGGGTTTGTGGCTAGAAGGGTTTATGGGAACATACATGCAATGCCTAAAAGGGTTTTATGGAGACATAAATACAATGGCTAGAAGGGTTTTATGGAGACATAAATACAATGGCTAAAAGGGTTTTATGGAGACATAAAATACGATGACTAGAAGGGTTTATGGGAACATAAATGCAATGACTAAAAGGGTTATATGGAGACATCAATACGATGGCTAGAAGGATTTATGGGAACATAAATACAATAAATAGAAGGGCTTGTGGACTCATAAATACAACAACTAGGAGAGTGTATGGAGACATAAATATGATGGCTAGATGGGTTTATGGGAACATAAATACCATGACTAAAAGGGTTTTATGGAGACATAAAATACGATGGCTAGAAGGGTTTATGGGAACATAAACACAATAACTAGAAGGGTTTTATGGAGACCTAAAATACGATGGCTAGAAGGGTTTATGGGAACATAAATACAATAATTAGAAGGGCTTGTGGACTCATAAATATAACAACTAGGAGAGTGTATGGAGACATAAATACAGTGGCTAGAAGGGTTCAACAAAGGCCTAAATAAAGTGACCTGATGACTTTAAGGTGACATAAATACAGTTAAAGAACACAACAGTATGTGTTGTATGTGTACAATTATTGATTGTTATTAGATCTGAGATTGACAGGTTATTCCCGGTATTGAAGTTAAAACTTGATGGTATCACTTTGCTAAATTGTTGTTTTTGTAGGAAACATTGACGCCAGAGTGTTGGAGAATGAAAGGTCACTGTTAAAAAGTTTCATTGGTAACAGAGCAAGTACCAAAACAGTTGAAGGTGGATTGTTCCAGCAAAAGAAGATGGAATCTGAAGAAAAGAAGTCATGTGTAAAAGAGACATTAATATACAACATTGATGACAAAATGTTGATTCAGTCAGACAGGATGGACCATAAAGAAAAAAAGGCAAATTTCAGTCCCTACAGGTGTACTGTATGTGGTCAACAGTTTTATCTCGAAAAGAAATTTAAAATTCATCTGGGAAGGGAGCATGGAGAGAAGGCCTACATATGTGATATTTGTAAGAAAGCGTTCAGTCGACCACACGGACTGCGTGTCCACTACCGGGTACACACGGGGGAGCGTCCATTTGTCTGTCCGGTGTGTAGTAAGGGGTTCTCTGATCATAGCGGGTTACTGAGACACAGTGTCGTACACACAGGTGAGAAACCCTACACTTGTGATGTATGTAGCGAGGCCTTTACCCAGATTGTTACGCTCCGTAAACATAAGTTAGGCCACACGGGAGAGAGGCCACACAGGTGTGACAGGTGTGGGAAAGGGTTTAAATGTAAAGCAGAGCTCGGCCAGCACCTAGAGGTCCATCAGAGGGAAAAACCACACAAATGTGACCTTTGTGAGAGACGTTTTGATCTTACTACCAAACTACAGGAACATGTAGAAGCACACAAAACAAAGAAGCTAAAACAGTGTGAAATTTGTGGTAAATTTTTCACACGTGTACAACTTAATGTCCATCTTCGGACTCATACAGGCAAGGGAGATAAGCCATGTGCAGACTGTGGTAAATTGTTCAAGAAATCAAGTCATTTATTGGAGCACCGTCGAATACATACCGGGGAAAAACCATGTATGTGTTACGTGTGTGGTAAGGTGTTCACTCAGAGTGCAACTCTACGGAAACACATCAGAATACACTGCAAAACCAAATCAAACATCAACCAGCCGGCTTTGGATTCTGAATTGGGTAGACTGAGCCTTTGATGCAAACTTTGGAGGAAACGTGGCTGAAAATTAAATTATCTAGATCTTTAACATATAACAGGATATTTTCATCCCATTTCATTTTTTGCACATCAATGAGAGAGCATTTAAACATAGGATGTAAAAAATATACATACATGTGTTATCAGCAATGTCAGTCTATATTTGTTGGGGACTCCTCACTGGGCAAATTGTTTCAAAAATTGGATGATGCAAATTATTGTATTCAAATGTAAAAACTTAAAACTTAAAGAGAACAGGTGTTTGATCGACAGTAATCAGAAATCTATACGTCACACTGGCGCTGATGTCTTTCAGAGAGTTTAGCTCAATATAGTCAGTGGCACAACGGTGTTACAACACACATTGCTCAGACATTATAATGATGTCACAATAAAAACAACAACAGGCATATGGGACTTGAATTGTTCATCTGTTTTGTTTTTTTATAATAAAAAAAACATGTGTGTAGCAGACTGGGATGGGTAGATTGTCAGCGACCCGGTGTAGCTCAATTGGTAGAGCGTCCTTCTAGAGTTCGGAGGGTCCTGGGTTTGAACCCCGGTCTGGCCATTGCATTTCTTTTTTTCCTGTTACATGTGTATATAATATCTGATACACTTTTCAACCAAACCTGACATGGGTACAAGTACATGTGTACTGAAGAAATCAACCAAACAGAGCAGTTTAGACACCTGGCCCCAGTGGCTCAAAGGTTGGCTAACATTAACCAGTGATTGGTGAAAAAAATCATACTGCTGCCAAAAAGAAACAAGGGCTTTCTATTAAAGCAAACCAATTCAATCAATCTGATCTGTCTCAACCAATATATATTGGTGAAATGATATCAAATGTTCTGGATTTTGTTATAATTTAATAAAAAAAAAGCACTTGTTATCTCTAATTGATATTTGACCAACTGGGGCCAGGTACACAAGCATGCTCCTGAAAACATTTGTAATCAACATTTCATTTTTTTGTTTTTTTGGTTGTTTTGTTTTGTTGTTGTCTTTTTGTGGGAGGTGGGAAGGAGGTGGGTGGCTATATGGCTATATCACACCATTCAATTACATTTGCTAACTATAATACAATGAAACAGACAAAGTAATATAGCTTCAGATACTGACCTGTGTAACTACACATTAAGCTATTAGCTAGTTAATAACAATCTTATTTCCTTCCTTAAGTCGTGGAGCTTAAATGTGTCTTTACAATAACCTTGAGGATAAAACCCAGTACAGGCTATAATCATATACATACTGTAGAAACAGTGACCTAATTGACCCTTGACCTTAAATGTAATCCCATTCTTGTCTGGTGAGGTTAAGGGAGGTATAGGTGACCTCTAAAAATTTGCCTTAACATGCTCCATCATCTTCTTAACTGTACGTTACAGATATATCTTGATACATGTAGGAACATACATTTGTATTGATGGAGAGTACAATTATGTGTTGACCTTTGACCTGGGCCCCTTTCTCGTATCCGGTTCGAACGGTTGGTCTGTTTTAAAATGCAATACTTTCGGGTATTGATCCAGGCAGGCCTGCAAGTGTCTACTGTAGGCCTTGCAAGGCTTTGTAAAGGCTCGCATGAAAGCAGCATCAGATTACTAGGTCTGACCTAATTTCATAAACAAACAACTCTGGTCCAACCAGTTGTACCGTCTGGATCGAATTTCGGCCCTGGTAACTCCAACTGTGAATCCATAAATACTCATTTATAAATTGAAAGGAAAGACAATGAGCCGGAGGACACAACGCTTTATGCTTCACTGAGAGTTTGACCTTGAGGGTATATGACATACAGTACATCTACAACGTCATGCAACCTTGACCTTGACTGCACATACAAACAATATGTACTTAAACTGCATTATTCATAAGAAATGTGTACATAACAGATTTTTTTTTGCTAATATGTATGCAGAAGTTTTAGAAATTCAGTAACCATGCATTGACCTTTAACCCCTTGTGTGACCTTGAAATTGACAGTAAACACCTGCGACCATGAACTGATTTGTACAGCAGTGGCGGATCCAGAGACCTATCTGGGGGNCTGGTTTTTTTTAAGCCCAAAAAAACCCTCTGGATCCGCCATTGTACAGAATTTGTTTTTAACGGACCATCCAGGAGTGGAACCTCGCTCAACAGTCACCTTGCCTGAACTATCTTAGGTTGCATTAATTGTGTATTGTATCGTTTATTCAACTTGAAGCCTTACGGCTGATAAGCATACACAGATACATCAGTGATATAGAATACCAAATAACTATAACATCATGAATGAAGCATAATCTTGTACATCGCACCTATAAATAGGCAGTATAATTCTTGAAATTATTATAAATTACCAGATAAGTAAAGTATCGGAAGATGGACAGCTCTTGTAAAATTACCTCACCTAAGTGTACTGTGGTTATCGGAACACAGATGAGGTGGCAACATTTTCTTAGCATAATATCAACCGGGGCTCAATAAAGAATATGTTAATTACAAAAACAAAAAACAGGTATACAATTTGTATACAGTGGTGTAGTGATCAGGGGATGGACAAAACGATATGTGTAAACCTGGAAATAAACAAGTACTCATATGTTATCAACCAGAGTGAGGATAAAACACTAACCTAAGGTTGGAATCTAGACCGTTCTAACCAACTTGATTTAAGATACAATGTACTTTCCTAGATTACACAGCTCTTTTCTGTTACGTACAGATATAGCAGCTGGACAAGTTTATATGAAGATAGGCGGTTCCTGTAATACTTTTTAATGGGGTTTTTTTACGAATATCAACATGAAGTGGACAAATCAGAACAAAATGGAACTCGTTCTCTACCTGGTTTTGATTACAATAACGACATAACCAATTCGCCCTCGGAATATTACAATACCATATAGCTGATGCATGAAAGTCGTAATTTCGAAATAAGTTTAAGATACGCATCTGGAATAGATTTTGTTAGATAAAATTGTAACGTAAAGCTATGTATCAGGAATTTATACAAATAACATTTGGATGATCTTTTAACAAATTCATTCTTTGTTTGATCAAACGCGGCTTGAACAATAAAAATACCCTTTCATTACCAACATAATGAGTTAACCAGACATTACCAAAACCAGAAGACAATACTAGTTTTCTAACTTGACAACGCCAACTACAGTTTCTGTGATTACATTCATCCATATCTTCATAAACTGACTTAAGAACACAATTGTCGCATTTAATAAGTTTAAAACTTTTAAGACGATTTTTCTTGAAGCCACGCCAGACTGGTTCACCCTGGAAGTTGATGTTGTGCTTTGCTGTATTGCAATTGCTGTAAATGAAAATGGACCATATGTTGTCATAAAACCTATAGTCGTATAGTTTCATCACCAACGTTTCACTGGTTCTGTACTGTCCCCAAAATCAATGAAGCAATTATAAATACAACATGTCTTAAACAGTGTACATTTATGCAATTGTACCAAATTGATTTACAGTGTCCAAAAACCTTTATACACCATGGACCTGATAATTTGTTACAGCTATATTTGGACCTAATAAGGTAAGGTGTTTAGAGTAATTTTACATGTTTCACGGGTTTAGATCAGCTTTCGGTAAAAAATAAATCCACCCCAATGAGGATATATATATACGAGGACCCCTTAAACGTGAAAAAAAACACTAAACGCCTTACCTTCGGTCCAAATATAGCTGTAACAAATTCCCATATTACTGTGGTATAAACACCTTCCCTTCGGTCCAAATATAGCTGTAACAAATTCACAGATTCCTGTGGTATAAACACCTTACCGTCGGTCCAAATATAGCTGTAACAAATTCACAGATTCCTGTGGTATAAACACCTTACATTCGGTCCAAATATAGCTGTAACAAATTCACAGATTCCTGTGGTATAAACACCTTACATTCGGTCCAAATATAGCTGTAACAAATTCACAGATTCCTGTGGTATAAACACCTTACCGTCGGTCCAAATATAGCTGTAACAAATTCCTAGATTACTGTGGTATAAACACCTTACCTGCGGTCCAAATATAGCTGTAACAAATTCCCACGTCCATGTCATGTCATGTTGAAGTGCATGATATGCTAGGCACTTGAACAATAAAGAAACCTTAATCAAATACTTCAGCTTAAGGATGTACTTCTCTGAGAAGTCAAACATTTCCTGTATTAAACTTTTTTTTCATACATGAATTTTTGGAAAAAGGAGTTAATGGCATAGTAGAAAATGCAAAATAAACTATATGTCGGTGTGTTCGTTTTTGTGCTATCTTACCTTCGGTCCAAATATAGCTGTATCAAATTCCCACGTCCCTGTCATGTCATATTGAAGTGCATGATATGCTAGGCACTTGAACAATAAAGAAACCCTGAATCAAATACTTCAGCTTAAGGATGTACTTCTCTGAGAAGTCAAACATTTCCTGTATTAAACTTTTTTTTCATACATGAATTTTTGGAAAAAGGAGTTAATGGCATAGTAGAAAATGCAAAATAAACTATATGTCGGTGTGTTCGTTTTTGTGCTATCTTACCTTCGGTCCAAATATAGCTGTACCAAATTCCCAGATTCCTGTGGTATAAACCCCTTACCTTCGGTCCAAATATAGCTGTTACAAATTCCCAGATTCCTGTGGTATAAACCCCTTACCTTCGGTCCAAATATAGCTGTAACAAATTCACAGATTCCTGTGGTATAAACACCTTACATTCGGTCCAAATATAGCTGTAACAAATTCGCAGATTACTGTGGTATAAACACCTTACCTGCGGTCCAAATATAGCTGTAACAAATTCGCAGATTACTGTGGTATAAACACCTTACCTTCGGTCCAAATATAGCAGTAACAAATTCCCAGATTCCTGTGGTATAAACAACTTACCTTCGGTCCAAATATAGCTGTACCAAATTCCCAGATTCCTGTGGTATAAACCCCTTACCTTCGGTCCAAATATAGCTGTACCAAATTCCCAGATTCCTGTGGTATAAACGCCTTACCTTCGGTCCAAATATAGCTGTTACAAATTCCCAGATTCCTGTGGTATAAACACATTACCTTCGGTCCAAATATAGCTGTAACAAATTCCTAGATTACTGTGGTATAAACACCTTACCTTCGGTCCAAATATAGCTGTAACAAATTCCCACGTCCCTGTCATGTCATGTTGAAGTGCATGATATGCTAGGCACTTGAACAATAAAGAAACCTGAATCAAATACTTCAGCTTAAGGATGTACTTCTCTGAGAAGTCAAACATTTCCTGTATTAAACTTTTTTTTCATACATGAATTTTTGGAAAAAGGAGTTAATGGCATAGTAGAAAATGCAAAATAAACTATATGTCGGTGTGTTCGTTTTTGTGCTATGATCGGTCAAAGATACCAATTTAACACAACATGTGATTTTAGGTGATATTTTTGGGTTTTGACCACTTGCAGAACAAATTCATACAATTTCTTCCAAGTGTGTTATTAGATATGAATGAATGTTTGTAGAATTGATAAATATATTATTTTCTTTTAAATTATGTTAGTAAAATTTCTTAATCTTATTCTTTTAACTCAGAAAGACGATTTTAGTTACCCCTACCCCCTATTTTTTAATGAAAAAATACTAATTTTTTACCATTTTTTGCAGATTAAAGGCTTGATATACAAAGTTCTGGTATTAAACTTTTTTTTTAATATTTAATGAATTAAAAGAAAATGTGTCTCGCTTTCGAAAACATCCACAAAAATGGGTGGTCGGTGTGCTTCTTTTTTTGTCCCATTATCATTTGTGTTATTTTTTACCAGTTTGTTGCATATTATTTTTATCATATTAAACATTATAA